CTCCTAGTCCATATGCCATCTGTGGGTGCACCCTAAGATATTGTGCCCATCAGCTCAGTGGATTTTTATCTGATCTCTTTCAAATGTGTGCAGATTAATGCCAACTACCTTCAATCTGGAAAGCCTCAACAATTATTCCTATTACTAAATCCACATGACCACAGGAAATAAATGACTTCAGACCAATTGCTTTAAAGTGTAACTAACACCACTGTGAAAGCATAACCCCGCCCCCAAGGCAAATTTGAAAAATGCCAACAAAGTAGACAGTATATAAAGTGTGGGGTTGAGCGAGAAGTTTTGGCCAGGACAAGAGAAAGTGACAGCTAGCTTTAGCTCAATTTGACAAGTTAACATTTCTGAAAACATTTCTGATTGTTCTAAAGAATTTTTTTAGAAAAATTAAAGTTTCATTAAATACATACAAACTCACATTTAGCTGTTTCAAACTAACAGTTAAGGCAACAAACTGTTAAAATATGACTTTGGTCCAAAAGAATACTTTATACTGTATATTTTTTCTTTTTTTTAATTTCTATTTAGGCCAATGATTCCTTTAAAAATCACAAGACAGCTTAGTCTGAGGTGTGTTCAGAAAATAACAGACTGGACTTTCAGTGTAAGCTTCACAGTGGTGATAGAAAAGGAGGACCTGTATGAGAGAGGTAAAAGAGGGTTCTGGTGAATGGAAATATGTCATAAGCTCTGGTCACCCCAAAGTTATGTTCTTTCTCCTCTTCTTTTTTTTGTACACATCTGCAGGTCTCTTACAGAAGGTAGTTGCCTAGTGAAGTTTTCTGATGACACGGCACTTAACTCTACTTCAAGGTTCAGAATCAGGCCATGGCTGTGTCCTACTAGCCTGGCCCTTGCCTTCCTATGCAGTTCCGCTCAATTCTAGTTTCCCTTCACTGCTCAGTCTGGGATTTCTCCCATAGACAAGGATTTCTTAAGGAGAATTTTGTTCGGGCCAATCTGAAAACAGAAGGCAGAGTTTTGAACAACATCGATTTTCTGCGCAGTGTCTGCTTGTGAGTTTAGCAAACGCAGTGGAGGAAGTAAATGAAGCCAGTCCATG